CCATTATGGTGTGTAAAGCATGGTGGTGAAATCATACTAACATCTTCTGGAATGCCTTTCGCCTGCAACATCTAAACCCTCTTCCCTTCCTGAAAAAAATCAGTTAAATCCAGCCATGATCAGAAGCGCTGTCTCTTTCTGATAATTGGGAAAGTAAAAATATCCCCCGACGAAAAGAATGGTTCCTCAAAGGATACATGCTGAAGCCAGCTCTCCATTTCATTTGGGGGAATTTAAAACATTAAAAAACAATTGGAGGAATATCCTGGCAGGGGAACAATAATTTGAATGCAATTTTAAAAGAAGCTCAAAGAGACCCTTTAATAAATAGACCTATTAATGCATAAAGCCAAGAGGGGTAGCTGTTTGAGGCTATGCTAGCTGGGAATTCTGGTGGTTTAAGGTCTCAACAGATCTGGAGGAGGTTGGCTAAGCCTTCAAGAGCCCTTTGTTTTCTTCAGAAATACTTTGCCTTGACTCCTTGCACAGTCTTTGCATATAGATTCAGAAGAAAGCTCCTCTGAACAAAATTATGTAGGAATTATGCACAAGCAGACATTGACTTGTACAGTGTTAACTCTGAACAAGGCTTTTTTTAGAGCGGCCCTGGGTAAAATATTTACTTGTCCTCCTTTTTGTCATAGTGTCCTGCTAATTTAATTGGTTTCTCCAATTTGGGGAGGGGGGATGTTAACAGAATTCAGTGGTCCAGTAAAAGGGAATGTGTTGGGCAGTGCAAAGTACTGAAATAATTCTCAGGACTCTATGGACTATTTTTACTGCTGTGAATGGAAAGTCTAGATCAGCATTTTTCAAACTTGACAACTTTAAGATGTGTGGACTTCAACTCTTAGAATTGCCCAGCCAGTTGGGGAATGCTGGCTGGGGAATTCTGGAAGTCGAAGTCCACACATCTTAAAGTTGCCAAGTTTGAAAAACACTGGTCTAGATCCATCTGATCATTTCAAATATTGAATTATCATTTTGATAGAACAGCGTATAGGCCAATATGATTGTGCTCCCCTCCCAAGTCCTGAGTCCAATCGATCTCCTAGGCTACATGAAAACAAAACTGGAGGAATTATAGCAAATTGCTCAGTCTTAGAATTAGCCCTACTTTTTTCCTTTTCAAGGCCACAGGGCAATGATGCACCCAGAGAGCAAAATGTTCAGGAACGAAGGCCTTGGCTGGAGTCAGTGCAAACAACCTGCTCCCTCTGTCCCACTACCATAAAAATAAACACATCCGATGAGAACGGACTTCAACCTTAAGTCCAGCACAATGTATTTGTCATTGCTGTCAGCTGCCAAAAGGGGTGGAGTGATAGCAGTGCTTTAGGCACAGAAGAATGGAAGGAAGATCGTTTTGACGTAAATATCTCCTTCAGGTAGACATTCCTCCCTTGACAATGTCCAAGTGGGGGGCCAGTGACAGGCTGCTTTTTCTGTGTCTTAATCATATTAAGAGGACACTGTCCTGTAAGACATTTTTGGCCAATAACAGGTCAAAAATAAACAAGCTGGATTTTGATTCCGTGGACTTTATGTAGAGCTCACCAGGGGACAGAGATTGTCCTGCCTTCTTGATACTCCAGGAACGAAATGTTTTATTTAGTGAAATCCATTCCACCCCCTGTCCTTGCTAGGAAAATTATTTCAAGTTCCAGGAAGGACCAAGAGATGGGTAGATCTGAGCTCTTGAGGTTGTAGACTACTTCTGATCCTAAGCTAGCAATTCTGCTGTCAGAGGTGTAATTCTGGAATGTTGGCTGCATATGAGCAAGCCTCCGGTATCCACCTGAACTCAAGCCACTATAAAGCCATGGTTTGGCTGGATTCATTATCAGCACTTGCCGTTCTGTTGGCCTTGGAAGTGTGCCTGTGGTCTCTCATTGTGTCACGGTTCAGCCCTGTTGCCTGCAAGCAAGTCTGTCATCTTGAACTAGAGGTGGGCAGCACTGGGTCTCCAGACACCTACCTGGCTCCCTGCCCCAACATTCAGTATGTATGTATGTATGTATGAATGAATGAAGCTGGAATGCTACAAAGTATTTGCCTTTTGTCTATTTGTTGGCAGCCACACTTTTGGATTCCACTGCAAATGGTAGAAACACCCTGGGGCTGCTAGTTCACCTTCTGGTAAATAAATGTCTTGTGACCGGCTAGGTTCATCAAGGCAGGCATTTTTGTAATAGACATGTCTCCCATGGCAGCCATTTTGTGGGAGCACCAATCACTTGCTCTTAGCGTTCCAAACGGGCGCTCATCCCCCAAAGGTTGCCTGCCTCTGTCTGAAAGCCAGCTGACACAATTCAGAAAACTTTTACTTGTCCTGCATCTTGCTTCCTTGCTGTGTTGGCAAGGCCAAACGTACATGACTGCTTATGATGGAAAACAAAAAATAAGCCTATAGGCCATTCATAGAGTTTCTTGTGCTAAACGCTAGGCTAAGGCAGTTTACTCACACCCTCTTAGCCAGTTTGACAGCCCCAGGAGTGCTCTCAAAATTGGCTCATTGAAACTGAGAGAGGCCCTTTGGGGGCCTTTCCATAAACTTCACAATAGGGATCTTAAAGTTTTGGAATATAAATGCTCCCCTTCCATGCCACTCAAAAGATGCCACATTTCAGATACTGCTTCACCACTATGCACCCTTGAGGCCAAAAAAATAAATAAATAAAATGAAGCTGACTTCCAGTTGCCTGCTCCTGTGCTAGGGTGTTTGTTTTCGTTTTCGTTTGTAATTTTTCTGTTTTCCCAATAATATGTTTCTACCCCCCTTTCCCATATAACAAAACAGGAAACCATGTTCAAAAATCAGTACAAGTAAATGTAGTTCTTGTAAGAGCAGAAGGAACGGTCTTAAGACTGAGTTGATAATTGGTTTATCTATTAACAAAGTATTCTGCTACATCAAGGGGCATTCAGAACTACAAATCCTTACTTGGAATCGGAGATGGACAGACTCTGTTTTATCACATCACTCTCCTTAATGTGGAAATCCAGCTTGCATCACATTAAAAACGAGAAGGCAGTGGTGAAGGTGGCAGTCATGGGAAGAAGTCTGATATTACTTCTTTTTACATAGGACATTGGTAACAGAGATTAGGGTGAGTACAATTGGCCTCCAAAACACTTCCATTCTTCAGAGCAAACACAGATCATTTCAAAGAAAAGGCATGTTAACTTCATGAACAGTCACCCCTACTCACTGCTAGTCACCATTTCAGGCTGCTGTTGCTAAAAACTAGGTCTATATTTAACCCTTTGCTCATCCATGATTTGGTAGTGGACCTGTAGTAGCTTTATGACGTTCTTTGGAGCAGTGCTGGGACCAGAATCATTCCCCAGTTCAGGCCTGCAAATAACACACAAGTCACTTCCAAATCATCAAACCAAAATAGCAACTTCATTCATCCCATGTAGCCAGTGATTTCCACCGTAATGCAGGACACATCCACTACTCCAGAAGTAGCTCAGCAACTGTGTGGTCTCACGTGGTCATCTATGTTTAGCACTAGAACCAAATTATTTTTGGCTCAGCTACAGTATAAAGCCAGTCTGGTGTAGCGATTAAAGCATCAGGCTAGAAACCGAGAGACTGTGAATCCTAGTCCCACCTTAAGCATGAAGGTTAGTTAGTTAGTTAGCCTCTCTCCCTTTCCCCAAAGAGTCAGGCAGAATAGGTCTTCCAAGTGTAACAGAAGTATAGCATCTTGGTTGCTTTGCATCTTCCCCTCATAGTAACCATTCAGCTGTTTAAATCACCAAGCAGCAACACAATACGAACTAAAGCATGGATGAAGGGGAATACTGACTGAATGCCACTGCAGTCTTCTACTGATTAGTTGGAATAAGCATTGATTGTCTTATGATATTCTCAGTATGTTAAGAATGGCTGGCAATGAAGATGTCCACAGGTCAAGTTCCTTTTAAGGGAGGAAGAGTAGAAATAGTAGCAGCTGTGTAATGCCAAAAATGGTTTTAGTAGCTCTTCATTATAGTGATGAATTATTATGTCTGCTTTTTCAAGAGTTTGCTACCTCTAAATGCCAATAGGTAGGAAACAAGAAGGAAGTCAGCTAGCTGTGAGCTTCCTGCTCCAGGGGGAACCACATGTTGGAGTATTCAGGTTTCTGGTCTGATCCTGTAGGACTCATCTTATGGACTGCATCATTTTGGCAGAGAAAGTTCCAGATAATGTTTCTTAAATAACTTTCAAGTAAGAACACATTAGAAATATCTCACTTCTTTATAGCAATACTGTTGCTGTCACATGACATTTTTACATACACAAGTCAATTTTTTATTTCCTAATGAAGCCAGAAACAACCACTAGAGCACTGTGCAAAAGTTATATCTTTATTTAGCAAAAGAAGAATACCCTATTTCTTTCTCAGATGCCATCCTTTAAATGACCTTTCTCCAACCTGGTGTGCTTTCCAATTTTGTTGGAATGATAACTCTCAGAATTTCTAGCCATTAAATTAGTCCCCCTATATGAGACAAAGGGGGCAACCTTTCGACATTCATTGTTTAAATATCACTTTATTTGCTCTTAAAAAAAACAACACCAAAGCACAACAGGAATCAAAATACCCTAAGATGCAGTAACAGCTCCCCCCCCCCCAAACCCCGCATTTCCAGACCGTCTAGGCACCCCATGGTTCATATGAGGCGGGGAAAAAAGAAAAGAGAATAAAATAAAATAAAATAAAATAAAATAAAATAAAATAAAATAAAATAAAATAAAATAAAAT